TTTTTTTTTTTTTTTTTTTTCAACTCATGATTCAATTTCATTGTAATGATAAATATACACTCAGACTCATACCTTAAAAGGCAAACCCAAATTTTAGCTAAAAGTGACAGGGGAAAAAAACGTTTAGTATTAAAAAAAAAGACCGATGAGAGCTTCGTTCGAAATATAGAGGGAACTGAGAATGCGCAACCATTCTCAGGGAATATTGGATGCTATTCCCGTTCCCTCTGTATGGAAAATTGAGGTTTTCAAAGGGAGTTAAAATAATATCAAATTTATACTAATTTACTTCAAAATACAAAAGTATTTGACAGCTAAAATTAGTTACTTTAGCAAGCCTATCAATACCCTTTTACGATTATTGCTACTTTTTTCGAAATAAAAGTAAAAACAAATTTATACTAATTTACTTCAAAATACAAAAGTATTTGACAGCTAAAATTAGTTACTTTAGCAAGCCTATCAATACCCTTTTACGATTATTGCTACTTTTTCGAAATAAAAGTAAAAACAAATTTATACTAATTTACTTCAAAATACAAAAGTATTTGACAGCTAAAATTAGTTACTTTAGCAAGCCTATCAATACCCTTTTACGATTATTGCTACTTTTTCGAAATAAAAGTAAAAACAAATTTATACTAATTTACTTCAAAATACAAAAGTATTTGACAGCTAAAATTAGTTACTTTAGCAAGCCTATCAATACCCTTTTACGATTATTGCTACTTTTTCGAAATAAAATAAATTTATTATCAAAAACCTTTTTTTTCTTAGTAAAAATAAACGAAATTTTTTACCTTATGAACTTTTGATGGAAATATGCAAATTTAAAATAATAAAGAAAGCCGCGAGCGAAGCGATCGGCTTAGTTCGAAGATTTTGATTCAAATCTTTGCTGATCTGTAATTCGCGGAAGCCGCGAGCGAATCGAGCGGCTTAGGTCTAAAATTTTGATTCAAATCTTTGCTTATATTCCTTAAATTCTTTATGAAACTCGCAACAGTTCCATAAAAATTTTTAAATTCTAAACTGTCGAAATTACCGATCGGTAATCACACCCTTCACAGGTGTGTCACTTTTTACAGGTGTGTCACTTTTAGCTTAAATTCCCCCTCCTCTACCTTAAAATTTAATATTCTGCATCTCACGAAATTACGCTCAGAATCCGTAGCTATTATAATAAAATGTTTCATCAGTGCACATTATTATACCCCTTGAAATATCAGGTCCAATTTATCGGGCCGTTTTCGAGAAAAAATCATTTTAAATATATTACTACTACCTTTCACTAACCTGGCTTCCCTTTATTTACAAAATAAAGTGAAGACTCATAAATCTAGGCTGATTTAAGCCGAACCATCTTATCAGATAGGTTCAAGATCCAAATAAATGAAGTAATACAAACTTTTGCTATAAACATAAATATTTTAGTGAAGAATTCACTTTCCTTTGATATGTCAAGAAAAATCTTAGAGTGTCATTAGTTAAATATTACAATCAAACGATTATACAAAAAGATTTCACGAATTTCTAATGGATTTAGACTTGAATGTTCAATTTCTTGATTGTTCACGTTTAGTAATCCCAACTTCTTATATCTTTTTTACATAAAACCTTTTGTATATCTACAAAAAAAAATAATTTTTTTTTTCTACTTTGATTTTAAACTAAATTCATTATACCTAAGGGTTTCGTTTTGCGAAAAAAACGTACAATACGCAATTTCGCTAAAAAAACATTTAGCTAGCAATTTCGACCTTTGACTCCACTCAAGACGTCACTTTTTTAATTTTGCGGTATCATATTTTTGGAAAATCTTTATGAATATTATATAAAAAGTCTCTTTAATATCTATATTTCATATTTTTATCGATTTTTAAAGTTTTTGCGAAAAGTATTCAATTATTTTTGCTATTTGGTCGGGTAAATGTCAGATTTGCGCATTTTCTGATATGATATTCAGATTCTACTGTTGATAATAATGCTTATAGAACCCTCTTGCTATTGTGTCAAAATTGCGAAACCGATAGCAAAAATATCTCGCAATATCAAAATTGAGATATTGAGTGAATTATGCATTATAGAGATTAAAAATCTGATTTGTGAAAACATCTCATCAGTTTCTAGCTAATTCAAAAATCTTTACTATCTTATTCGATTAAAATGAAAAGGGAATAGTTTCATTATGCTTTAAATGACAGCCTTATAATATAATCATAGTTTTCGCTCAATATGCAGCATTTTTTTTCGAAATCTATGGTCAATGTCCTAAATACTGATTGCTTTGCATTCATATCTCTTACATTTTCTATACCCACATCACTATTCATTGCTATTCCTATCTTTTTCATTTTTGTTTGTTTCTCATAATTTCTCAAAAAACATGATAACTTGATATTTGTAAATATCATACTTTATAACGTAAATAAGAACTTGACCTATTAAGAAAAGCAGTAATGAAAAGAAAATCTGAAATTCATAAAAATTACAAGTTTCTGATGACAATTAGCTTAATTAAACCAGGTACAAGATTATATAATTGTATTTTCTATCCAATTATCCATATAATATCTTATCCAGAAAAAATAACTTGATCAATACCAAATGATTTTTTAACTAGTAAATAAAGTATTTTCTTTATGGCATTCCAAACGGGAACCGCGGTTGGTTACCATGGATTTCCGTCACCGGTCACATTTTAAAGATTTTTAAAGCCTTATAAAAATATGCTTTGTAAATCATTTTTTGTAAATCGGCAAAAATTTGGTAATTTTCTTCAACTAATAAATCTGCGAATAGCATTTATAATACAAGAACAATCTTTTAAAATGCGTTTGATTCATTTTTGTATAATTTCATATAGGCACATATATTCTTCCGGGACTTTCCGTGATTTTACCGTAAAATCATTAGTTTACACCAATTTTTCCGTATTTTGAATAGTTTACTGCACTTTTTCCGTAAAATTGAGTTACGGGAATCCGCAAAATTTCCGGACCTCATTTTTCATAGAATATAATAATAATATTTGATAAAAAGATATATTATTTATATTTTTGATTTTTGAATTACGGAAAAAGTGAATTGATAACTTGATTTTTTTATATGGTTAATTTTTCAAATGATATTATGAAGATCTAAAATATTAAAAGTAAAAAATTGAATTACGGAAAAAGTGAGGTCAAAAGTGAAATAAATTTGCAGAACAATTTTCATTGAAATAAGACATTGAGTATCACACTTTAGTGAATCAACATCTATAAGAATGAAGTGTTTTGAAGCTGAAATAATATTGAATAGAAATTAATTTTTTCTGAAATTTTGAATGAAATTATGGAAATAAAAAAATTACTAAATATTGTATTCATACAAATATATTATTTTAAAGGAAAATAGATGCTGATAGAAACGATGAAAAATTTTGAAAACTTTACAATTAATTTATGTTCGTTAACCACAGAGCTTGCAATCCAAAGCTCACGTTAGACTACAAGAGTCATGAAGTCTCATACTAAGGGATATCCAACATATATTTTAATAATCTAATGTTTGTGACAAATATTCAACATAAAATTAAGTTTTCGTTTCGTTACAAGGCATTCATACTTTGGAATATCATATTTAATGTACAGAAAAGTTAATATTAAACAATACATGCTAAAGAATTAATAAATAAGATAATAAAATAAATTTATACGTAATTACTTTCATTTAATATGCTTTATGCTGTATAATATTGATTAAGAGGCATTAAAAGGTTCCATAGTCTGCTTTTATAGGCAAGATTTTTGATAAAAATTTTAAATTTTGAAAAATGATGAGAAAAGGAAAAAAAAGGTAAATGAAAGCAAGAGGAGGGAAAAAAAAGAAAGGGAAGGGAAAAATAAAAGAAAGAAGGACATATAAAAATTTAGATGCGCATTCTTAATGCCGAGGCGGCTTGCCGCCGAGGCGCGATTTTTTTAGGCCTCTACGGTAACCCGGCAATGTTTTTTTAAATCTTGTACAGCCCTAATTTTCTTTACACACACATTGTATATCATAGTTTTTTTTTGGTTTCGCAAAACATCCAAAAACAAATATGCTATAAAAGTGACAATTTTAGCAAAACGAAACCCTTATTATACCTTGTTGATACCAAGTAAAAGCTTAATAATAAAATCCTTAAAACAAGCTAAAAATTTTTCATTAATAAATCTTAAGTAATATTGCAGTATTTATGTTGAAACTATGATTCATTTCGCATTAGCATCAATTATAATGTGCATCTATTTTTCCAAAAATTTTCCATTTTTCATTGTTCGTTATCAAATTTGTATTTTTTACATTGATAAAGATTTTTTTGAATTTTTTTTGGAAAAATTACTTCGTTCTAGAGCTTGAAGAATGAGGCCATTACTATCTATTATATAACTTAAAAATTATTCACAACTCAAAAACATCATAAATCAGGAAATCATCTATAAATTTGTTTCTATCACAACAAATAACAGGTTTCAAAAGAAGTATGCAATATAAACTTCATAAACATAATGCAATATATAGATTTTCGTATAGTTATCCCCTTTAAACTCATTTTTGATTTAAATCTTTTCTAAATTATCTTGACACGCTGAATTATCTCATTACATGTTAGGGTGGAAGAATCTACACATATGGGTAAAGAATTTCTTTGTGATAAAAATCCTTTCATATAAGGAATTGAAGTAAGATTTCTTAAATCTTTCTCACTCCTAAAGTAATACAGAATTTTATATACACAACATATCCATTGATAAAATAAATATCAGTTTCATATAAATTAAAGAAATATAATTTTGATAATAATATCGCCAAAATGCCTCGACAGATTTCCGCGATTCCATGTATATCAGTTTCACAGCAGGTGGTAAGTATATATCCACTAGCAAAATTGAAAACTGAGCGAGAAAATTTATCTGGACTACCTTTGTTAAAAATTTCACATAATGTGAAGTGAAAATTAGTCAAATTTTTTAATGACCTACAAAGTTCATCCTAAAGATTTAAAACAGATTTCAACCTTGGTCGATGAGTGCTCTGACCTGGTTGAACAATGTATAGGGTTGTTAGCTGAATACCAGCCAGAGCAACCAAAACCAAAACCAAAACCAAAACCATCAAATGAGATCCCAAATAATATTCTTTTCAATTACGTAGAGTTAGATAAGATCGGTTGGAATCTTGGACAAACAATGAAAATTGAATACATTAAGGACCAATATATTGAAGCTACACTTTTAGACGGCAAAAATGATAAAACTTACGATTTTCTTGCTGACAAACTTAATGACAAAGTATACATTGTTCAAGAATATTTCAATCCATACAAACATGTTGGTCTCTTATGCCAAAACCAAATATTTATCATAAGGTTCAACAAAAACTCATTCGATGGAACTAAACTACAAAATCTCCTTTCAAAGGCAACTTTGATTGCATCAAATCCCAATCTCATTCTTAACGACTACCCATCACTTCAAGTCAAAGATCTTTTAACCGAGATTACTAACTTTACTGATCTTGATTTGAGATTTTCATTCCATTCAGCTTCAAAATATTTATCAATTTTCAATTATAAAGATAAACCGAGAAAGCCAGATTCGCATCTGTTCCAAATCATTTATATGTTACTTTGCAACAAATTAGCTGTCGAAAAACTCAATTCTCAAAAGAGATTACCAGATTTGGAAATTTCGGAAACAGAAGGTTTCACAGTTCCACCAGAATACGTTGAAGGCGTCAATGCCATGTCGATCAAAGCCAAAGTTCCAGTTGATCCCGGTTTTTCAATTAATGTCCAAACTAATGAAGGCAACACTTATGAAATCAATTATCTTCTTTCCAACGATCCAATGTTTGAATATTTATTACAAGATATCAAAGATACAACAATTTATGTATCAAGTCACCACAAAACAGCCACTCTATTAGACAATTCAAATTCTATTACAGTAATAAAAGTTGTTGATGATGCATTTCTTGATCAGCTTGTTGAATTAGATAACAGAGCTGATATCACTGTAAGAGCAAACAATTTTGATGATTTCAGGAAATTCTTTGGACAAAATCGTCAAGTTGCTATGAAAAAGAAAACAATTACAATCGATCCACAAAGACAATTCGTGAGAACAAAAGATTTGCCATTTGCAGAATTCTTGAATGAGCCTTCTGGTAACCTTCCTGTGCCAGTCATTATCTCTTTGGCTTTGAACGCAAATTACAGAGTTTTTGCAATTAGAGATAATCATAGCCTTAACAAAATGTCTATGCAGGGAAGTCAAATTTCTGAACAATCTGATTTATAAAGATATATTTTTTTTTTCTATTGATACATTGAAAATTTTGAATGTCGATATGGCCATGATCGTCTATATGATTATGACAATAAGCAATATCCAAATTTTTGAAAATATTGTGGTATTGCATTTCATAATTTTACGATCATTATTTCGGTGAATGGCTTTTCGACAACATTTGATTGGATTCTTATCATTTTTCTCTATTTTTTTGATATTTTATGCCTTCTCGATCAATGAATTCTACCGTAAACTTCATTATACTGTTCCAAAAGTTGAAATTAACAAAAATTATCCTTCATTTAACAAGAGTAGTGATCCGATTATAATCACTCATGCAACAGATATACATGTATCACATCTACACCCTCGTACTTACTATCGCCTTAACAAAACTCTTAATTTTTGGGAGAAAATGATCAAACCAGTTTTTGCAGTTCTCAGCGGAGACCTTACTGACAACTATTCACATAAGAAATCGCCTTGCTACGCATATCCTATTGAAAAACATTGGAAAATTTACAATGATACGATAACAAATTCAGGTTTGAATTTAGACAGATTATTTGAAATATTTGGCAATCACGACTTATTTGGTGTTTACGATTGGGACGATAACAAGTCCTACGCTTCAATTTATACAAAAACAAAGAGATCAAGTTTCCACGCTTTTTCCCAAGTCAGAAACGGAGTAAAACTTATTGGATTCGTTCCGTGTGAGATACCTTTTGGCAATGGCCCACAACAAGTCGTTGCAACAATGAGAACAAAGTACTTAGACGAACTTGAACGTGAATTACAACAAAAAAGTGACGCGAAATACGTTATTATTGTCTGTCACTTCACTCATGAGTTTATTTATCCATTACGTGCTCGATCTACATCCGGGAAGACCTACGAAGACCTGATCAGAGAATACAATGTCACATGTTTATTGACAGGCCATGTTCATCCTAAAAAACTTGAATTTGTTCATTACGCAAACACAATGGAATTAACAATGATGTCGATGAAGAAATACGATTTCTTTGCGTTATTGTCATTGGATAATGGAAGAATCAATTATGAGCAACATAGCTTTAATGATTCACAAATAAGTCTAATAACAAATCCTGCTCCTTCGAAATTACAAAGTTTTAATTTCATAGACAAAAAAATGCCTGTCAGAATTGTCACTTTTTCAAATTTAAAGAACAAGAGTTTCAAAGTTAAAGGAAAAGGAATTGAAGGAGAACTTAAATGGGAGAAATATCTTGATGAAAATGTTTCTTTGTATTCAAAAGAATTCGAATTCCAAAGTGGAGTTCAAAATTTGACAATTTCCGGAGATTTAAATCAAACAATCGAAATAGCAGTTGATAGTGAATCAGGACCATTCCATGAGACTCACAGATGGTTGTTTAATTCTTATCTTGGTGAATACATGTTAGTTTTGTATGCTCCTTTCTATATTGTGATGTTAATTGAAATTATTTGGCCACTTAAAATTTTTGATGAAACAGCTTTGTCTATTGTTGATGATACAAAGAAAGGGAGTATTTTGCAAGCAATTTTCTTTGGTCCTTTAGTTATATCTAATTTATTATCTAGAATTACATTTAGAGTTAAGTTTGTTGTATATTTAAGTCTTCTTTGGCCACTATTTTTGCCACAAATGTTTTATCCTGTTAATGGAAAGTTTTCAATTTTGTGGTCATTTGGATATACTGTAGGATTCACTCCTGTATTTGATACATTCTCTGTTCTATGCACTGCTTTGTATTATTTGAGTTATGTCCCCCTTGTTTGTTACGGAGCTGTTATTAGTTTTATCATCAAAAGAGATGGTTTATCTTTTTATTTTATTTTCGAAGTTTTCGTTCTTTTCTTCTTTGTTTATCAAGTTTATTTGTTCGTCAAAAAATACATTGCAGAGATTGGTTGGCAGTATTACTGGTATTTTGCATTCCCTTATTTCCAACTTCCAATTGCTGCTGTTTTAGTTTTCTTGTATGATATATTCAAAGAAAGGAAACAGAAGAAGAAAGATGATTAATATTTATAATATCATATTGTTCTTATTAAAATCTATCTATATATTATATATTAAAAATATTTGAACTCTTTTTAAAATGACATCGTTTGATACTTGTAGGAAAATCATTCAGAATTAATATATAAATGCTAAATCCAGTGGAATTACAACATGTCTATACTCATTGGGTCATGTTGAACAAGAGTGAGAAAAATTACAATATGCGTGTTACATTTTTTATATACAGTAACTTCATATTGAAATAAATTCATTAGTTCAGAATAAATAATCCGTGACATTTATTTTTCTAAGACCAAACTTTTTGTGTCATTTTATTTATCAAAAGTCACATCTATATTTAAAATCTCATTTCATATATGATGCATTTCCTTGAAATTCATTCAATTACTTATAAATTAGCCATAATTAGTATGACTATTATGAAATAAATAAGCTTAATTCAATAGAATGTTTTTAGTATTATATCATTGCTATGAATGGTGTTATTGGTAAACTGTTGACATTAAAGCGATAACAATCTTTAGTTATCATATTTGAGCACGGTTTTGTACTTAATTGCGGTAACTTGCTAAATGTAATTAGACTATCAATATATGTTTTGTTTTTATTTTCTATCAAACAGCCGCATGAGAGTTGATTACAGCCTTTGAAAGCATCCTCTCCAACATCAATAACACTTGCTGGAATATTTATCATCTTTAGATTTATGCAGCCGTCGAATGTACTCTTTGAAATATTAGCAACACTATTACTTGGAATGAAAATAGAAACAAGATTGACGCAGCTCATAAAAGCACCTTCACTAATTGTTACTGTACTTCCTGGAAGAGAAAAGAATTTCACTTGAGATACAGGTGGAAATAGAATCAAAGATGTTTGCTGCCTATCAAATAAGGCTTCTGTAACAATTCTATATCTAGTACTCTCGCAGTTAATACTTGCAATTCTAAAGCAATCCCTAAATGCACCACTTTTGATAAATTCAAGTGATGAATCTGCTGGAATATTAATTGTTGAAAGTGATTGACATGAATAAAATGCATTACTGCTTATTTGGTAAACAGATGATGGAACATCAAGTGTAGAAATTGCAGTGTTACTGAAAGAAGAAACTCCAAGAAGAGTAATTCTTGCTGGGAAATTAATTGATTCTAAGTTTGTGTTATCACTAAAACAGAAATCACTAATATTTGTCATGCCACTGCAGCTGCTTAAATCTACAGACAGCAAACTGCAACCTTGGAAACCATTATTTCCTATAGTAGTTAATGAGTCATGGAATGTAACTATATTCAGATTGGAGCATCTAGAGAATGAAGAAATTCCAATATATTTCAATTTCAATGGCAATTTTATAGTTGTCAATGAAGTGCATCCGTAAAAACAATTATCTGGAATTGATATAATATCACTTTGCTCGAAATTCACAGATGATAATGCAATACAATTGGAGAATGACGAATCTCCAATAGATCTGCAGCTATTTAAAACAATTGACTGTAATTTTTGGCAATTTTGGAATGCAAAATTCCCAATTGATTTGATATAAATTGGAAGATTTACAAATTCCATTTTTGTGCAATCAGTAAAAGCACTTTCTAAAATTGTTTCTAATTTGGAATCACTTGGGAACACCATTCTAGTAATGAAATTTTTACCGGAAAAAACAGATTTCTTTATTAAGGTAACATCTTTATGAATATTAATTGTTGTCTGTGATGTTCCAATATGTTGTGAAATTGTTGAATTATCTCTTGTCATAATAATATACTCATCATTTATATAAAAATTGGAATTTCCGCTAAAGTATAACTTTGTTCCTGGATCGAAAACTTGACCATTTAACTGTGTCAAATTTTCGGGTAATGTCACCTCTTTCAAGTTTGGACATTTCATGAAGCAGCCTTTATCAATCCTTGTTAATGTGTCTGGTAATTCAATTGAGGATAAGTTTGTATCCCAGAAGCACATTTCCGGTAGCAAATTTAATCCTTTTGGAAGTTTAACTCTAGTTAATTTCTTGCATCCGGCAAATGCATTATTATAAATAATTGTTACCGAATCTGGTATATCTATCTCTGTTATTTGAATCTGAGTCATTGAATAAGATGCAATGGATGTCAACGTTGATGGTAAAGTAACACTTGGAAATATAGACCAAACAAATGCGGAACTAGCAAATCTAGTAATCCCTTCAGGAATAACTAAATCTCCAGTTTTTCTTGAAGGATATGCAACTGCTGTTTTAGTTTCATTATTTATTAATATTCCGTTAGTAATAGTGAAAATTTTGTTGTCTCTGCTTACAAGGATTTCTTCTAAATAGCAATATTCGAATATTTCTGCCATAATTGATGTAACTTTTGAAGGAATAGTAAATGATTTAACTTTACTCATTCTAATAACCCATTTTCCTATTTCAGTAATTTCGCTGTCAAGTGGTATGTCAACTAACTCTAATGAACTACAAAACGCAAAACAAGACATGGGAAGAATCGTTAATTTTGAAGGAATTGTTATGTTTTTGAGATTCGTACTATAAAAAACTTTATCACCCAAAATTTCAAGATTTTGAGGAAGTGTGACAGCCCCTAATGATTTACAAGACTCAAAGGCGCTGTTTGAGATAGTTTTTAGGCTTAAACAATTTGTAAAATCGATCGATTGAATTACTGTGCAATAATAGAATGCATAATTTTGGATTTGAGTTAATTTTGATCCTACTGGAAATGAAACTGATTCTAATGTTCCGTTGCAGTTTTTGAAAGCATATGTATTTTCATTTCGACCTGATATAGTAATTGCATTTGGATGAATCGATATACATCTGGCCCCAGAATCCGTATCATCTAATATTTCATAATTATTTAAGTAAAGACCAGTATCATATTTAGGCAATTAAAAGGAACTCTTCAATTTGAAAAATGACAGATAAATTTGAGGATGTTTTATTGTCGTCTGGAAAAAGTGACAAAATTATTATTGTCGTCTAAAAAGGTGACAAATTATTATTGTCGTCTGGAAAAGTGACAAAATTATCATTGTCGTCTAAAAAATAGATTTTTCAAGCATGTTTCGGTACCTAAATAAAGGAAGAACATCAATTCCATCTATGTATATAGTATGCAAACACGCATGATATATGGAGTAGCTCTTTATCTGGCTAAAAATCCTATTATTTGAAAATTCGCATTGTCGTCTAAAACCGCCAGACGACAATAATAATACCCCGATAAATTTTATATTCTAAAATTCAATGGTAAACTATGAAAAGTCTAAGCTAGCTTTGAATCTTATTTTTAAGAGAGTTCGAAATTGGTTCGGCTCAAATTTTCATAATTCAATAAAAAAATTAAAAATTCAATAACAAAGTCATTTTATAATATTATGAAAAATAAAAACATAAATTGTATAGAAAATATGCATCTGGAATACAATGCAACGTTGCTGCATACTTTGTCTGCATAATTTGCACAAACATCAAAGATATTTGTAGGGAATGTTAGTACGGAAACGCAATTTGGATCAAAATCAATGTCTCCATTACCATCGTATATACAATTTTTCAAAGAAATTATTCCTAAATTTGCCTTTCCCATTTTGTTACCAATGATGGTAGAATTCGATACATAATAGTGTTCATTATAGGGCTGTACAAAATCGAGAAAAACATTGCCGTGCGGTAATATAGGGTCAAAAAAATCGCGCCTCGGCGGCTCCGCCGCCTCGGCACTATTAAGTGCGCATTATATTTAATATGTCCTTCTTTTTTTTCTTTTTTCTTCTTCTTCTTTTCCTTTCCTTCTTCCTCTCCTTCCTCTTCTTTCCTTCTCCTTCTCTTTTTACAACAACGTCGAAGATCTTCGAATTTGATTGTTGGAAAAGCATCTATTTCAGATAAAGGATGCCTTTCTCACAGTCAACATACGAGGGTCCTGGCTGAAACGTTCTCAAAAAGCCTGAGATGGTAATTCTCTGATCACTCATAGCTGGGCAGGTAGTCATTGCTGACAATACCTGTCTTTATGCATGCATGCTTTCATGTATATGGGTTTACACTATCAATTCGCAAAGTTGTTCCGAATTCTTCCAAAATGGAAGGACCCGAAACAACTTTGCTTGTTAACGATACAGACGCATTACTTTGCATTGATACTGTGCTGAGTTGTGTAGAAAGTTTGATTAGAGTTGTTTTGTTCTGGTATCTCTCATCTTCTGATGAGAGAAATCAAAGCAAAACAACTCTAATGAATTTGTTTTCACTCATTTGTATGTAGGTTTTTAGTTCGATTGGAGCTGCTTCATAATGAGATCTCTCATCAATTGATGAGGGAGATCATAACAAAGCAGCTCTAATGTATATGCTCGTATTAACCGGGTTGTAATGCGTTGTAACGTCAGCTTGTAGTTCGTTTGGGGCCACTTCACATTGAGATGAGAAGAAATGATTAAAGGACTCTGAAAGGCTTTGGCCGTTGATGTTGTAATCGCATTACTTGGAACTAGCTGGATGCTAAGCTGTGTAGAATGTTCGATTAGAGCTGTTTTATATGATTTTTCTCATCATAAGATTGGAGGAATCATAGCAAAACAACTCTAATGGGTTTACCATCATCTACTTGTATGTAGATGTTTGGGAAATTGTCTTGTTAATCGATTTTCGAGATGACTTTCAAATGCTATCATCAAATGACAAACAAGTCTAAGATTTCTCGACAATACATCAAATCATGATGTTTGTAAGTGCGATGAGATTAGAGTTTTTGAAGGAATGACAAGAGAAGTAGGGAAGCTCGGCATTCGCCGAGCAAATTAAAAATTAACGTATGGATTAAATTTTAAGAGGAATTCAATTTTAATTACGGGTTGTTCAAATATTGATTAATATAAATTTATTAATAAGAATAAACAATTTTTGTTTTTGAATTTATTCAATTTATAGCTTTACATATAGTTTCAAAATTGTACAACTATGATTATTTCAACAAAAAATATCTTACTTTTTCACTTCACTTTCACCCTCACTTTTTCCGTAATTCAAATTTCAACATTATGTATTTTAATTCCTTATAGTATTTTTAACATAATTAATCAAATAATAATTGGAAGTTCTGAACTCACTTTTTCCGTAATTCAAAATCAAAAATATGAATAATATATCTATTTATTATATACTAATGCTATTTTCAACTAGAAGTGAGGTACGGTAATCTTACGGATTCCCGTAACTCAATTTTACGGAAAAAGTGCAGTAAACTACTCAATTTACGGGAAAAGTGTCGTAAACTATTGATGTGGCGGTAAAATCACGGTAATTCACGGAAAGCTATATGCGAAAATTTGAAATTATACAAAATCGAGCGAAACACTTTTAAATAGGTTGTTCTCGTATTTAAAATACTATTCCCAGATTTATTGTCGTCAGAATATTTCCAAATTTTTGCCGATTTACAAAAAATGATTTACAAAGCATATTTTTTAATCTAAAAAATTCCTAAAAAAGGAACCGGTGTGCGGAAACCTCGGTAAATTACCGCGGTTCCCGTTGGGACTGCCATAGTTCATTAGTATTATAAAACAAAATAAGATATTTGTTATTATTAGAAATCAGAGAAATATATTCATAATTTATATATCTATTGTCATGTCCAAGAAGTGCAGAGCATGTATTATTATATATCGTCCAAAATATTGAGCTACCACCAATAGAATCCCATCCAGAATGGAATATGACTGCTTCATCTATATGGCATTTTGAACAATTATCATTTGGAAAATAACCTGGAGAAACATCTGTCAGAATTAAATATCCAGAGGAGTTGCAGTCATAAAAGCTTATTTCACTATAATATTGCGAATTTTCTGGCTTATCTTGATTTGTTGTCAAAAATAAGCCATGAAATGGGCAATAGCACCTACAGCAGGCTACATGATCGCACGAGAAATTATTCCCACCATGAAGAACACACCCTCCGCCGAGTTTTTGACCATCTCTGGGATAAGAAGAAAGCTATTTTGGGTCCTATTATTTGTACAAATAATCTAGTTAACTATTACTCACTAAATTGTTACATATTAAGTTCTGTCAAAATGTAAGCTATTAAATTTTTTGAGAGGGAAATAATCGTCGAGGAAGTAAAAAGTGACGCTTTAGGAAATATTATTAGAAATATGATAATAAATATATTTGGAAAAAATATGTTTTTTTCAAAAATTGAAATGTTCATAGAATATTTTGAAATATGTAGGGAATTGAATTCGGTAATATATGATAAACAGGATTTTTAAATTTCAAGGAAAAATAGCTTTTGTGAATACTTTTGAGAACTCTTCTCAAAGATCATGATTCAAATATATTAAAGAGCCAAAATATTAGAGATGATTTCATAATCAAAATTTTACATTTTAATTATTTAGAAAAACGTATTAACCTCAATAAAAAATATCTCAAAGATTAATAGTTAATTTAGGGTTTCCTAGCTATCTAGATGGAATTGTTCCTTATGATGTATATATTTATAATGTATGCATCATAAGGAACAATTCCCTCCTTAAAACGAGAAAACTTGTTCGAAATGATAAACAATTTCGAACAAGTTTTCTCGTTTTTAATAACAAACTAAAGGCTATGAGGCATTGATTATATATCAGTGCCTCATAGCCTTTAGTTCCCTGTAGAAAAGATCGAAATTTTATTGTGATTTTAACTGATCTATATTTCGCTTGCGTTATTTGAATCTTTTCTTTTGCATATGTCATTCCTTTCACTTTTCGAATTTCATTTGCCTGCATGCTCTCTCGTTTTGGTTGAAAATCAACTCAATCTTAAAATGAACTTCTTCATTCTTTACAATAAATTCAATTTTTTTCGAGATATATCTTTATCTACCCCTATGTGAGCTGCATATTCTTTCTCGCTAAATTCTTTTGATTCTTTAGAGCTAAAAATCAAGTTTAATAAAAATAATGTTTATTCATAATTTTGAAAACCAAATTCAAATTTGAATGAGAATTTTTGAAAAAATATAGAATATTTCAATAGTTTGGAATCTCTTCAACTTCCCACTGCTTATTAACACATTTTTTCCAGAGCGGTTTATCATCCTTGGTCCATTTCTTAAATTTGTTGTAAACCTCTCTTGGAGTGTATGGTCGAACTCCAATTTTTGGATGAGCGCCATGTGGCATGTCATTGTATTTTTGCCTGAATTCTTCCAATTCCTGATTGATGCTCTCAAATTCTGAAGACTTTGGAGCATTTTTGTCCAGTGATGGCCAGAGGCGTTCAATTTTGCCATTTTGACGTGGCATGTATGGAGCTGATTTTCTGATTTGAATGTCATAAGTACTCAAAAATTTTGTGAACTCTCCCTCATTTTCTTTACCGTTATCTGACCAGAAACAGAAAGGTGCTCCATATTTTTGAACTGTTGCAATTGCCACTTTTGAAGTTTCTGTTGAACTTTTGTTACGAAGCAATTTCAATGCTAACAAATAACGACTTTTGTCATCAATTATTCCATAAACCGGTAAAGTTTCTGGTTCTTTCAAAAAATGAATATCCACATGCCAGATTGTATTTGGAAGAATTGCTTCATAATCCACATAATATGCTTTTGGATTACTTTTATCTTTTTCTTTGTAAATTCCCAGAAATTTTGCTGCCTTAATAACTGCATTGTAACTGATTTGAAATTGTTTTGGATTCATATTGAGAGTCCAATACAATTTTTGAACCCCACATTTGTAATTTTCATAAGAATTCTGAACCTTCAAAATTAATTCTGGAGTTAATTCCTCTTGTGGAGGACCACTTTTAATTTTTGGTGTACCACCGATTTCTTTGAATGCTTTTTTGAGAGTATTTCTTGAAATTTGTTTGAAAATTGTAACATTTTGATAAGAATATGGAACTTTTTTCAAAACTGTTGCGTAAGTTAACTCACCACTTTCAAGTTTTTCATACATATATCTTACCCATTCATTTGGAATACGAGGTCTCGAGTTTTCGTTCATTTTTTTACTTTACAAAACTGTTTATTTTTCAGAATTTTTAAATTTGAAAAAATCCATTCTATATCTGATAAATAATATATTATTTTTCAATCAAAATATTTTGATTATCATCTCAAAAGTGTTCTCAAAACCTAGTTTTTCTTATTTTGGATAATCTTAATATTTATATTATTATAAACTAATTGAACACCATATGTTTTTGTATACTTTTACAAAAAAATTGATAGATTTGTGATACTTTCCCCGACGATAGAATTGAATAGCTTACATTTTGACAGAACTTAATATGGAACAAAATTATTACGAATTTGCATATTTTTGAGAAAAAATCGATTCAAAAAAACTCACTAAGTCAATTTATCATATTAATCATTAGAAATTAGTCATTATTTTTAAGAAATAATAATTATTCTTACCAGCTCAGGCTTTAAAAATCCAAATGCAGAAGAATTAACATACAAACATACTTTTAGATAAGAACTAATACAATAAATAATATATTAAATGGAAAATTGAAAGTAGTATAGAATTCTAAATTACTACAAACGTTTTGGTAAAAGATTACGCAAGTATCTTGAATATAAGTTGTGAAATTATTAGTGGATATGCAATTTGGATTGACTACAAGATCATCATTTGTATCATATATACATGAATCGAGAGTGAGTGTTCCTTCGTGGAATTTTTCCATTTTATTTCCTATAATTACAGAATTCGATATAAAGTAGTTCTCATTTTCGCCATAAAATAAAATCAGATATTCATTTGAGTTAGAAATTAATGACAAATGATCGTAATTAATTTCTAGATTCGCATGGCCAAGAAGAGAAAAGCAGGTATTATTATTTAATGTCCAATAAGTTGAATTTCCACCACTTGAACCCCACCCTGAATGAAAAATTGTTAAATCGGATATTTTTGCGTGTGATGAATTGGTATGGGTAAAATAAGCAGGGAAAATATCTGTTACTATTAGGTATTTTGGGGAAACGCATTCCGAAAAGCTGAGTTCATTATAAATATGAGAATTTCCCGTTTGATTTTTGTTAACGGATAATATTAAGCACATTTGGTCGCTTTTGCAATTACAACAGGATATGTATCTACATGATATACTGTTTCCGTTATGGATAATGCATGTTCCGGAAAAGTTTTGTTCTTTATATTTATAATAAGATGATTTATAGCAGTCATCAAAGTTACAATGCGAAACATGTAAATTAGACTCTGAATTTTCAATAAAAATAACAGAATTGGTCCCCTTGAGATCAGTAAAGTGTGAATTACTAATCAACTGCCACTTTTACGATCACAAATTCAATTATTTGAACTTATTATTATTTAAAAATTCTCTAAAATTCATATTCTTAAAGTTTCTCTTGTTGATAAAAATTGAATAGAAAACTCAAAATTGAGAAGAAGGATAGAAAGAAGAAGATTTTATAGAAGAAGAAAATACAAAAACATAAAATTCGTGGAAAATATACAGCTGTAATGCTCCAGAGCATTAGTGCATTTTTTATCTTATCTATATGGATATTTGTTCTGTAAGTTTGTACAGAAACACAACTTGGATCTATATCAAGATTACTATTACTATCGTATATGCAATTCTTCAAAGTTAATGTTCCTGAATGAAATTTTCCCATTTTATTACCAATAAAAGTTGAATTCGATACATAATAATGTTCATTATTATTTAAAAAAATATATGAGATATTGGTTATTATTAGAAATCAGAGAAATATATTCATAATTTATATATCTATTGTCATGTCCAAGAAGTGAAGAGCATGTATTATTATATATCGTCCAAAATATTGAGCTACCACCAATAGAGTCCCATCCAGAATGAAAAATGGTACCAACATCTATTTTTCCGTTCGATGAATTATCGTTTGAAAAAAAACCTGGTGTAATGTCTGTTAGAATTAAATGCGAAGATGTATAACAATCATAAAAACTTATATAGCTATAAACATGGGAATTTTTAGGATTATTTTGATTTATTGTTAATAACATGCCATTATATGGGCAACCACATTTACAGAAGGATACACACTTGCAAGATATATTATTTCCGTAATGTAGAATGCAACCACCGCTGAGGTATTGTTGCTTATAGGTATAATATGAATATTTAAAGCATTCAACAAAGTTACAATGTGAAATATCAAGAATAGAGTCTGTGTGTGAAACATAAATAACTGAATTATCCCCTTTAATATTAGAAAAGCTTGAATAACTTATCATAGCCGATTACATTTTGTCACTTTTCCATAGAGAAAAATAAAAAACAAGATTTTATATGAGAATAAAAATAAATGATGAAAAACTAAAAAAGTATTTCGATAAAGCGTAGAATTTAACGTCACTACATACGTTTTTGTAATAAATTATGCAAGGAAAGTTCACATTCGTTTTAAAATCATTAGTAGATATACAATTTGGATTGATGACTAGATCGCCTTTTGTATCATAGATACAAGAGTTAAGTGTAAGCGTTCCACTTCCACTCTTTCGCATTTTATTCCCAACAATGATCGAATTATTGACAATATAGTTTTCATTTGAACTGTAGTAATATATGATATATTCGTTTTGATTCGAAATTATCAATAAATGATCATAATTTATCTGGAAATTAAAATGGCAAAGAAGAGATGAGCATGTATTGTTTGTCAATGTCCAATACTTGGAACTACCGCCTACTGAACTCCATCCAGAATGAAATATTGCTAAAGAAGAAAGTTTTGCTTGAGAAGAATTATCATTAGTAAAATAAGCGGGTGATATATCCGTTACTATTAAGTATTGATTAGAGGAACATCCAAAAAAACTCAGCTCATTAAACAAATGTGAATTTTGGATTTTATTTTGATTAATTGTAAAAATCATAGTCATGTAATCACTCTTACAATTACAGAATGATGTAAAACTGCATGACACATTATTTCCATTGTGGATGATGCATACACCTCCAAAATTTTGTTTTTTATAAGTATAATCAGAGGATTTATAGCTATCTTCAAAGTTACAATGTGAAACATATAAATTAGACTCTGGGTGTTGAACATATATAACTGAACTGACACCTTTGATGCCAGTAAAGTGTGAATAACTAATCAATTGTCACTTTTACGATCATGAAAGATATGAATTCACATCCTTTCAAATTAATTGAAATTTTACATTCAAAATCTTAATTGAAAATGTCAATCCAGAGACGTCCAGCTGTCGGAATGGAGACCATGTGGTTTAAACCAAATGTTAATGTGATTGGAGTTTGGCGTTGCAACAGCAAAAATGACCGAGATGCTGTTTTAGACAAATTATGTAAATCATTTGCTGGTTTGCATACTCACTACGATAATGGAGACTTTGTGTTCCAAAAAAGAGATGTTCCTGTATTCAAAATCCCAGATGAAATTAAAAACCTTGTTGATATAGCAAAATACGTCGACTTGCATTGTACAAGAAAGCCTACAACAGCATTAGCATCTATTGCAGTTGCTGAGGATGCCGTTGCTATTGTTGGCAGCCACTCCGTTTTAGACGGAGGTTCATTATCTTACTTCAACAAGCTTCTTGCAGAGAACAGAGATATACCTGAGATAGGATTGAATCCAAATACATTAGAACCTTTCATGGAAAAGATCAAAGCTGCTAATTATTACTTACCATCAAGACCATGCGATGAAAGTGCTGTCCGCTATGCTTCTAAGGATGGCCCACGTCTCACAACAAATCCTTACATCATTACTATGTACGAAAACCTGAAGAAAAATGACTTCAAGATTTATAATCAAAAAGACGACAAATTACATGGATTTACTGAATCTTTGTTTGCGTCCCAGATACTTTCTATGTCTGCTTTCAACGGAAAGTTCGGCAAATCAGGCATGTGGAAAGTTTTTGGAACTCGTCCTTACGCAGAGAAGAATTACAAGCTCACGCAAGGCCAATACTACTCTAACTTCAATGTAATACCAGAGAATGTTACAGAGAACGACACTTTGCAAACATTGATGAAGAAATCAGATCAAAAAAGGTGCTCCATGGGCTTCATTGAGAGGATACTTGGATAACTATTTCGCAGGAACAGTCCAGAAAGGTCATTTTACCATTCTTTCTTCAATTGGAGAGTTCAAAATGGGCGGACCAGTAAAAGATTTCATGTTCAGTGTATCTGGTAATGCTGACTTTGGACCGAGCCTCAATATCCTTACATTCAACGTCAAATCAAGTAATGGCAACAAATATTACTTAGTTCACTCTCATTCTCCTCAATATTACAGCTACAGAGAGTCCAAGGCTTGGATTAAGTCAGTAAAACACTGCCTGTCAAAGATCAGTTTAAATACAAAGATTTCAGACGCTGTTTCAGAATTGATTGATGTACAAAAGGATATCTTGAAGGAATATGACGATGTTGTCAAGGTCGTAAGATTTTAAGTATATAGAATAAAACACTATCTTTTATATAAAATTTTTCAATTTGAAATTTCGGCATTTCCTAGATTATTCCAATGATATTTGATTGTATATGAAGATTTTTAAGGAAATACAGTTTCATACTTATCTGATTGTGTATAATTTAGTAACGACAAAAGTATTGACATTTTAACTTCGCATTTACGTACTTTAAATGTTTGTATTGTGTGTAAATATGCATAAATCATTGATACCTAGCTCAAAGATTTAATCAACTCATGATAATGTTTCTACGGGTTTTATTTTTTTGCAGCAACACGGGGGCAACACGGGTGTAAACTATTCAATTCCTCTCAAATATTGAGTACTTTTGGGCAACAGGGGTTAGAATTGAATACCTTGGGCAACACGGGATTTTTTATTAAACGTATACTATGGGTTAAAATGATAAATAACTCCGCATATAATTATAATTTGATTGTAGCAGTTACACCACTTATACAGTATCCACCCCAAATCAAGGTCAGATTAGCAAAATTGTTCAAATCAGAAATTCAAATTTGCATTGCAATTATTTCAAAAAATACAACGCAAGTAGCTAAATCAAATTAATCAATATTAAATACCACGTATTTGTAAGTATAGGGATACAGAGATAGAGTTATTTTTTTCCAATTAATAATACTTCAATTTTAAAAATTAACATCGAAACGGTAAAAATGTCATTAAGCATTGAGATACTAGCTATATATTAAAGTTTTAGCAATAAAGTTAGTCTATAAACGCTTAAAGCATGTGTCTGAGAAAAATATAGAATTAATGAAGTTCTGCTATTGTAATGTTTGTTACACAGTATTGGAATGATAAATTATTGACATAATCTATTGAGTAATACTCTAAATTTCATTTTGAAATTAAATTTAATCGATTTGATATGAGTAATGTTATAAATCATCTTGAGCATATTGTAAGAATTGAATTATAGTAATTATACTAGTATAATAATAAATAATTTAATATAACTTATTGCAACTTTTGTTCATGTTAGATAACATTTTGAATGAGTCACATACCTCTGTAGAAACACATATATTTCATAGAATATCTTAAATAACTCTACATTCCTTATTCTCTAATAAAGAAACTCGGATGTTCATTTAACTTGTAATTAACCTAGTTATTAGTATGTAAAAAGCATTTTCTAGCTTGATTAGTTGTTCACAACTAAGTATTTTGCCATTATTAAGCATAAATTAGTTAGTATACTAGTCTTGGGTATGGTGGCACTGCGTTCCACCTTACCCAATACTTGTGAATTTGACACTTTACAAAACCGTTAACGTATATTTTACAACATGAACGCAAAAACTAACTTAACCTTAAATATTTACAAAGCCGCCAACAATTTCACCTCACTATCGTTCTCACTAACGACTTCACTAATGTTCTCATAAATTTTCCTCAATATCTTCATCATCAGTGTTAACCCTATTGTAGTCATACTTGAAGCCATAAACTTTCTCTAACTTCTTAACGTACAATTTACATAACTTACCTTCGTCATCGTATGGTTTAATGATATAACTATTTCTATCTTTATAAACAGTCAATGAAAAGTCAACTGGTCTCGGATGTATTTGAAAGAACATGTTATGCTCAGGAAGGAAGAATAAATGTTTAAATGTATGTTTGTTATATGTTTTGATTTGTATGAGTTGCTTTTGTTCTGTCATTACATCCAAATAAAATAAAAATAATTTTAAAAAATAAAATAAAAAATAAATGATATCACCACCCTCACACGTATGAAAACATAGCACAAAAATAAATTTAGGTGAAGTGGTGAGATCTAACCCGATTTCTAACCCGATTTCTAACCTCATTTCTACCCTGTTGAATTCATTGCTTTATTCCTCACTGTCGTCTGCTTTCTCCAACTCTTCTAACTTCTTCTTAAGTTCAGCAATGTTGTCCTCATGAAGTTTAATCTTTCTCAAAATTCCTTCTTTATCTAATGGTTGCTTTATCTTTCTAAACTGAACTCTACCATCCTTCATAGTATGAATGTAAAAACCTTCTGGAATAATTCCTGATTTAATGTATTCTACCAAAAACTTTTGTTTCATTGCTTCAGTGACTTTAGTCGTCATTTTACTCTAAGGTGAAGCTAGCACAGCGATAATGGATTTCATGACTTTTTAGTATTTCATGCAATCTTAACAGATAGCCTTACAAGTACTTCCAGTGTCCCTAGCTGTCCCTCCTTTTTATATAACTCCATGACATTTATAATCTCGCGAAACTTAACAGGTAGCATAACAGATTAAAATCAGATGAGGTTTTGAACCAAAATTTCTAAGCAACGTTGTCAAGGATTTTGAGGAACTAGGGACAGAGTGTGGCAAAGTCCAAGATTTAATTTATCTTCATCTGTTTCATCAACTATCTCATCTAATATGCCAATATTTTATTCATAACTCGTGGCAAACTCACTAACTTTCGTTATGTTCATCTGCATGCTTCATCTGATAGAAAGTATGACTTTCATTAACTCTGTGAGATAATGAAAACTACTAGGGACAGAGACCATGGCAAAGTTTATGACTTTCATTATTTCCAGAACTTAATGAAAACTACTAGGGACAGAGACCATGGCAAAGTTCATGATTTAATTTATTCTCTCACTAACAACAAACACAAACTCCAACACTAACATCAAGTACTAACTTCAGCACAAATGACAAACACTAACAACAAACACAAACTCCAACACTAACAACAAACACAAACTCCAACACTAACGACAAACACTAACAACAAACACAAACTCCAACACTAACGACAAAAATAAATGTCCTCACTTCTTAACAAAGTAATATGTGCTTCTTACACCACCATAGCTCAAACGTTTCTTTTCAAACATCGATTGAAACTTATTTTGAGCCATTGGCTTTAGTCTCTTTTTCTTCAAATACGCCAAGAAATCTTCTTCACATCTTTTCACTTCATAGCCTTCTTTAAACTCCTCCTTGTTAAGTTCTATGAAATCCTTTATCTCATTCTTTGTTGCAATGGCTTCTTCACGAACGACATCATGAACTATTTCATCATTGCATTCATGTATGACCTCCTCACTGTTCTCATGAACTATTTCATCATTGCATTCATGTATGACCTCCTCACTGTTCTCATGAACTATTTCATCACTGTTCTCATGTATGACCTCCTCACTGTTCTCATGAACTATTTCAACACTGTTCTCATGTATGACCTCCTCACTGTTCTCATGAACTATTTCAACACTGTTCTCATGTATGACCTCCTCACTGTTCTCATGAACTATTTCATCACTGTTCTCATGTATGACCTCCTCACTGTCTTTCATAAGCGTTTCAAAGTCTCCTTTACTCATTACTTCAATCTCATGCTGTTCACAGTAGTACTTAAACTCACTGTATATGTCTTTGTTGTATGTTATATTGCTTCCCATGTACTCCATGAATTTTTCAAGCACTTCCTCATAATTCACTGTTTCTTTCTTTCCACGACCTTCTAATATCATACTTGCTTCGTAAATATAACTTCTTGCAGAACCGTCTCGCTTTCTACTTCTCTTCACAAATTCTCTCATCTTGCCACCAAATACATTTGAACTACATGCAAAGAATTCATTCTCCTTCGCAAATTCTTTATATCTTCTGTAGCACTCTGTACAATTCCATCCGGATACAAACTTTTCATAGAACTCCTCGTAAAACATTTGGTAAGGTGTTTTGTTCATTTCGATGAGTTCTTGTTTAGCCCTGGTGAATGGTATCTTCCTTACATCAAATTCACTTAAATCTTTCTTCATGAAGTACGTCAGTAAGTTTGAATAAAACTCTTCATTAAAGCTTTCAATGAGATTTGAGAAATATTCGTAATTTCCTTTGTATCTGCTGCTTACGTCAATGACAACAAATCTTCTGTCGTCTTTGTCAATCTTTACTGAGTTGAAGTTGTTAGATATCATGATGATATTACAAACATTCTCTATCTTTCTTACTGGCTGACACTTCTGATTTAAGTCCAACTGAGTCTCTGTTACTATTGACTTTAGTGCGTCGTGGTTCATGACCTTAGACGTATCGCATGAGCTTAGTTCATTGCATACGATGAGCTTCATGTTCTCAATAGCAGCATTGAATCTACCAACCACATTCTCTATTGCCGTTATATTATTGTTGGCGTACTTGCTAATGAGCTCGCATAGAACATTACTAAGTACATTCTTACCAGTTCCTTGCTTTCCTATTAACAAAAGTACTGTTCCAGTCTTTCCACAAGGATTTTGAACGATGTAGGCGAACCAGTTCAAAACATACTCATAAAGCTCTTCATCCTCATTACATATGACATCGTGAACATGTTTCAAATATCCTTCAATAACGCTTTCATCTACTTCATTCAGTACCTCATACTCATATCCTCTGAAATAGCTGTAAATGTCATCTCTTTCGTCAAAGAATCTCATGCCTGACTTCATAAGATAGTTCTTGTTCTGACCCGCTTCATAAATCATCAGTGCGTTCACATCCTTCTCCTCAATACGTCCTACATAAACACTCTTCATGAGCTTATTGAATTCCTTGCTATCTACTGACACAAGTGTTGTTGTGTCTCGTATTCCATCATAATCTTTCACTAGATATGTCATACGTGCTCCGTCAATAACGACAACACATCTTCTTAAGTCATTTATAACACTAGCTATGTCAATACCGTCCTCACTCATGTACTTATTTCTTCTCAAGTCCTTTAGTGTGAAAGTGTCTCTAAGTTCTATTTCAAGCAATTCATTTACACATCCTTTGCAATACTTCTCTATAAAATATTTCTGTCGTTCTTTACTAAGTTTCTTAACAGCTCTGAAGAACCATGTGTTTTGACTCAAACATCCTTCACAACTTCTCTCATTCATTCCTAGTTCTTTCATGTCATTATCTTCAACCTCTATGGTCCCATTGAGTAAGGTCAAAGGGTTCTTAGTCATTGCTGGTCTTATCTGAAACAATGTTTGTGCAACAGGTTTAACTAGTTCAGCAACGTCCTTCCTTAATATGAATAGCTGTTTCCACTCATCTTTGCTAACAGTTCTTTCATAACCACTGACAGTAATGATTTCATTTGCTGACCTTAGACACTTATGTTCTATCATTTGTATTGCTTTTGTGTAAGGCTTTCGTGAGCATAGGTTGTATATGTCATTCCTGCAATGTTCATTCATGCCAATAGTACTAAATCCTTTCTTTGCTGTTGAGTGCATAATATCCATTAGTTCCTGTGTTCGTATTGCTGTCTCATAAAATACAACAAGACCTTTGTCATCTATGACGTACTTACCGAAAACATTGCTTATATTCTTTAACCATGAAATAACATCCTCATTCATGCTGTCAAACATGAAGTAAGGTCTTACATACTCTTCACTTATAAGATACTCCACAAAGTACTTGTTAAGCTCTATGTCCTCGTGAGCGATTTCATTAGGTTTGATATTAGTTCCTTTTGTCATTGCTGTCATGTACTTCACTCTCATAGTTCCTTTCAATAGCGTAAAAGTACTTCATTGTTTCATAACTGCTCTAAATTCTGTTCAAAATTCGTACAACATAACTTTTTAACATTAGTGAAAGAACATGAGCGAAACAACAACATCTAACATTACAGAAGAAGTCAATGACAATGCCGATGAAAACATTACAGAAGGAGCTAGTGAAAATATTGACGAGTTCAGTGAGGAAGAAGATATTGAGGACGTCAATGAGAACGTTAGTGGGGAACAAACTCAATGGGAAACATTAAGAAATCATGAAGATTATGAGATTTGTACGACATATCCTTTTACTATTCGTCGAAAGAAAGACAAACATATTATGAGTGAATACTTAAATAATTATGGTTATATTGTGCTTAGTTTAAACAACAAAATACATTTAAAGCATAGAATTATTGCAGAACAGTGGATTGAAAATCCAAACAATTTGAAAGAAATAGACCATATAAATCATGATAGAACGGACAACAGAATCTCAAACCTTCGTTGGTGTTCTAGATCTGAAAACAATAGAAATAAAAGCAAGTATGGCGATATAGTTTATGAGTTCGTTGATGAAATATCTGACGAAGCTGTTGAAATAACAGATTATGGTAAACATTCGTTTGAGTTCTACTACTATGTTGAGAATGAAGACGCATTCTATTATTATACAGGTCTTAACTATCGAAAACTTCATATAAACTTTACAAAAACAGGTGCTGCTTATGTTTGTATGATAGATACAGAAAACAAGAGTTAGTATAACTATCATGGGTACGGAGACACTGCGCGCCTCCTTACCCCTGATATGTGAATTTGACACTTTACAAAACCGTTAACATATATTTTACAACACAAACGACAACACTAACTTAACATTAAATATTTACAAAGCCGCCAACCACTTCACTTCACTAACGTTTTCACAAACGACTTCATTAATGTAAAAAATAAGCGTTCTCACTTACAAAAGTATTGCAACTCCTCCCATTGCTGTGCTTCACATAACAGCTCATAATCTTCTGACTCACTTTCTTCTTCATATAGGTCAAAATCACTGTCATAGTTTATACCTGTAAGTTTTGACAAAGCTAATGAAACACGCTTACCGTTTGTATCGTATGCTTGTATAAACTTTCCATTATGTTTGTTGTCATAAACGCTCAAACTAACTTTACCCTTTCTCCCTCGTATCTGATAGAATGTATTTTCACGAGGAACGAAGAACAAATTCTTGAACTCATGACCGTTGTAGTTTGTTATCTCAATAGTTTTCGTCATTTACATCCAAATAAAATAAAAATAAAATAAAAAATAAACTTAAAAATAAATGATATCACCACTCCCACACGTATGAAAACATAGCGCAAAAATAAATTTAGGTGAAGCGGTGAGATCTCACCTGTTTTTTCACCTCTTTTTTCACCCTGTTGAATTCATTGTTTTATAACTCTCTTCCTTGGTTTCTTTTTAGTTGCTTTCTTCACGTCTGTCTCCAACTTGACTGTCTTTTCTTCTTCGTCGTAATGATACCAGTTACTTCCACCAGTCAATGGGTCAAATGGTCGTTCATAAGGGTTTCCATACATTCCATAAGGTCCGTATGGATAAACTACTAGTGGAGAAGAAACATTTTCTTTAGTTCCATCGACTCTATTTAAATGCATTGTTTCACCTTTCATCTGGTCATTAAAGTCTTTTGCGTGTTTTGCAAACTCGTCGTCCTTTCCTAAAGCATTTTCTGACTCAGTCGCAACCAAATTGGATGCTTTATTTATGAGCCCTATTTTATTTAATCTTAACTTCTTTGCAACCCAGCCTCCAATCTTCCCTTTATTTGCATCTAATGTCTTTGAAACCCTTCCTCCACTCATTTTATTTACTGCGTCATAAGCTCCAAGTGCTTTTGCTCCAAATGCTAATGCTTTTGTTCCCATTGCGCCTAAAGCTGCCCAAGCTACCATTTACACCATATTAAAAATCATCTCTCTTCAATATTATCTCATAAAAGTTCTCGTTACTGGAGAAAGTCAATGAAACATAAACATTCTCACGGGCTTCGCCCTCACCGCTTTGCGGTCTATCTAACTTATTTCTTATATCATCTATTCTCAATAAAATGTCTGAACAATTGCTAACATCTTCTACAACAGTTATTTCATCATGAATGACCTTCAAGAACAAGCTCATTTAATATGCAATTAAAATCATCTCAATAATGAGTCCATCCTTTCCATCTTTAGTAGCACAACATCTTTCATTGAAGAAGGTTCGACAAGTCTTATGTTAAACTTACTGACAAAGTTTGTTATACTATAATGCTTCGGTGGCGAATACATGTAGTTTGAAAGACATAATAAAGATTCTTCAGCAAATTCACTTATACTGGATTTTATAACAATGTTCTCACGAGACCAAATACCACCAATTGACAATCTTGTAAGCAATCCTGCTGAACCTTCAACTGTAAACGTCGATGGTAAGATTCCACGAAGGTCATCTATTGACATCTTTGAGTCACTGAATTTAAATATTTTCTTAAAGCAATCGTCATTATCTAACCATGCAATAGCTTTGAAGTTTTCATTCGAATATACATCTGCTTCATTAAATGTAAATCCTGACTTCTTTGCAGAGATGACTTTAAAATCTATTGAGTTTGTTTCAAAATTATATGCTATGGTAACTTCTGAAGGTAATGGATGCCCTTCCGCAGTCAGTTGTTCTCTCACTACCATTTGAAGCTTTGTGTTAAAAACTTTCATGTCATCTCCTGTATCTAAGTTCACATACACAGCAACAGGGAAACTATCTTGCTTCTTTGTTTCATCATTATATCTCAAAACATTAAAGTTCTTCAATAATATTGTTCTTCCTGCTGGAATACTTCGAACCTGTCTGATTTCAATAGCTTTCTCACCTCCTACATACTCTACCCAGTGTCTTGGATATTCATAAGTATACTGACTTTCTTGAATTTTGGTTGGTTTCATCATAACATGTTCATAGTATATCTTTATACTCTTATCAGTTAGACTCGGTGCTATGTTCTGAATATTTCTGACTTGCATTTTTAATGGAGATAAAATGAAGCATTTAATACATGACGTAGATGAAGACATGAATGAAACTACAGACAAACTTAACTCTTCTCTTATTCTTCCTTTCAGCAAAGATTATGAATTCTGTTCAAATGGTGTGTATTTCTATTGTGGAAAGATGGGTTCAGGTAAGACATTTAATTTAATTCGTCATATACTCATAACAGAGCGTTTAGGAAACGACTCTTACTATGATCAAATCATTATATCAGCAACTTCAGACTCTATGGATTCAACAGCGAAAACATTTATGTCAAAAGTTCAAGCCTCTGTCGTTAAAGTTCCAGACAGTGAACTCATTGAATTTCTTCAACGTTACATTCGACGTAAGAGAAAATATTATGCCATCGTTGAATTTATACAGTCAGGAATGCAAAAGACTTCTGAGGAGATGGAAAGAATTATTGACAAACACCACTTACGTCAATACTCAGGAGTTTACGATATGAAACGACTTACAAACTACATTCTGTCAAAACTTTCAAAATACCCCTTCAAAAAATATCCTTCAAATACTTTGTTAGTTTGCGACGACTTCGCCGGAAAAGGTTTAGTTTCAAAGCCTGACTCACCATTAGCTAACATCATAACTAAAGTCAGACATTACCATTTAACTGTAGCAATACTTATGCAAACATGGAGGTTTTAGCTTTAAACATAAAACGTCTCATAACTGACTTCGTTATCTTTCAAGGTTTCTCACGTTATGATATTGAACTCATTTGGAAACAGTCAGGTATAACATTACCTTTTGAAGAAATTTGGAAGCATATAAGTCTCTCATCTCTCCTCGTTCATACCTTGAGATTCATATCATGACTAATACCATTAAAGTCAAAAATATTCCATGGGAACGACCAACATTGTTTTAAAGTTTAACCTTCAACTGACTGATGGTAAACAAATTCCATGCATCTCTGTCGCCATTTCTGTTAATATTTTTGCTGTCATTCATATCATCCACTTCTCCATCTGTTAACTTTTGAGGATATGCGTTAGAATAGCTGTTCTTAAATGAAGGCTTTTCACCTTGAGAGCATAAACTCTATAACTTTCTGCATACTTTATGTTTGAACCTCCTGAGCCATCGTTGACATAAATTTTTATAGGCTTCCACCCTTTGTTCATGTTCCTGCTTCTTCCCTTAGCTCTTTTGTTCAGTAGTTCTACATCTTTATACACAGCACCTGTCTCAGTGAATTCAACAATATTTTCATTCGTTAGCTTTACATTCAAACCCTTGTCGAGTATATTGTTCATTTCATACATATAAAAGGTTTTTATTCTATATGAAATGAGAAGCAAATCCATCTTAGCTGGTGCCGTTAATGTTCCAATTGAACCAACATCAAATGTTGACTCACGAACGACAAACAATATTGTCATAAAGAACTATAGTTCAGAGTGTTTGAAAGAACCAGAACCAGAGCTGAAATCCGTGAATTTAAACACAGCTTCAAACGCTAACGCTACATCAGATGTTAAGTTAGAGTATCCACCACTGGACCAAATTCTTTTCAAGAGAAGCCAACGACAATCCTTACACAAATGTTCAAACAAATCCTTCAGATAACGTAGACCATTACCTTCTTCAGTTATACAAACAATTTTACTCAAAGACGATAAGAAGCTTTTGACAAATCTTATAAGTAAGAACCAAATAATTCTAACAAAGGAGGACCTTGGAAAATGTTATCTCACGAATAACAGGGAAACAATGTGTCATTGACTATCTCGACCCTGAAATCGAATGCTGTGGTCAAACGCCACCATTCATGAAAATAGGTAACATCCGCATCATTGAAACACCAGGAACTACAGGAGTTGAGTTTTAAGTATAAATATTCGAACGAGTATACAAAACTTTCAACAGAATATTAAACTTTGCTTGAAATATGTTTTAGTAAATTAAAGCAATTTGTAATATCTGTCCAAAACTTCTTCAACAGTATCGAACTCATCTTCATAATGCAAACCTAATCTTATTGACTTGGTGCAGTTTTCACTAACACAATATAGCGCTTTGCGCTCGGCGCCTTTGACGCCTTTTTCTGTTCTCTTGACTGACATAACTAACTCATTTGTTTCATCAAACAGCAATAACCAAAGTTCATGACCTAATACATAACATTCATACTTTATATTTTTAGCTCTGAGTTCTCTTGTAAGCTGTTGCATTTAATATTTTCTAAAAAGTCAACTTCAACAGTCATTCGCACTGGTGCCTTCAGTTCTACAGGCTCTCCTTGAAAGTCAACAAGTCTGAATGCATGTCTTTCAAATTATGAGGACTAATGCGAATCCATTTACCTAAATGAGTTGCTATGACAGGAACATTTGGAATGAACATTGAATTTACTGCATAACAGAAAGATTTATACTCTACTGAACCTTTACTATTAACTCCTGAAATGCCTGTGACATTAGCTATTTTTGACTCAATGTACAAACAATTGCCATAACATACGTATGGAACAGATTTCATCTCAATCGTTTTGTCAACACTTTTCAAAGGAAATGTCATATGGTATGCTCCTAAAAGAAGTTGAACTCTATGACTCATTCGTGTTATCTTAAACTCTTTCTTGCTACTGAACTTCAATGTTCCCTCAGAAGAGAGTTCGACATCTATGTTGTCAATAGTTTCTTCATTTATGAGATTATTATGACTCCAGCAATTTTATCTATTCTATACTCTGCTCTGTTTAGGAAATGTTATAACACTTCTTTTGTCATCTATTTCAATCTCTATGAAATCTGTTTCATCTGTTATGACAAAAGTTGCGATAGTATTGAAGTCAACAACTCTGAAAGCAAGCGCTTCATTCTGAGACCTAAGTTTGTTTGTAGCTTTACTGTCCCGTATTCGTTTGGGTCTGTACTTTGCAAATAGAACAACATTTTATTCTCATTAAAATATGACTATTGCTGCAATGCGTATGAAACAAATGAAGCAGAAAGAGCACATGAACTAGTAAACGAAAACTCAACTTTAACCATTGAAGGCAATGATTTAGTCATTGACGATGGAAAAACTAAAAAAGTCATTGATTTCGATACTTTTAACACTTATGACCCATTCATTACAACAAGCAAAGTTCCTATCATAAATGATGGAACGGTGCAATATATAAATTCTACAGTAGATGCCTCATTAGTGAAAGTACTGAATGTTCTCATTGAATTGTTAAAGAGCTTTCGATTTGACGACAACATTAAATGCCTAAAGAATTTAGTCATGAATGAGAAACAAATTCTCGGCGTTGCTGGTAGCAGTAATGATGTACACCTTATGACATTAGAATATTATAACGAACATAAAGATGAACTGAAAGGAGAGAAGGGTGACACCGGACCTCAAGGACCACAAGGAATACAAGGAATACAAGGAATACAAGGACCTCAAGGCGAAAACGGTTTGGATGGAAAGGATGGAAAGGATGGAAAAACTGCTAAATCATGGATATGGGACCTTATAAATACTGGTTTAACAGCTGCTTCATATGGAGTTCTTCAATACCAAATCGGAAAGATATGGGCGGTACTTGGTGAAGAAGTTTTAAATGACGTTAAAAATGCTTTGAACTTCATTTCAAATGGTTCGGATACTATTAAAACTTTATCTGGTTGGATGCAAGAAACAAGGAGTCAAATAGATACTGTAAGACGTATAGCAAACAATGCACGTACGGGATTGGATACTTTACGACAAGCACAAAATACACTAAAGGAAGCAAATGATATTCTTGGCTCAGTATCAGACATGCATGAAGATTGGCTTAAAGGTATTGACAAATCTTTAAAAAATCACAGTCAGTCTATTGCTGACTACAAGAAAAGTATAGATTTTTTACATAGTGCTATGGACGTACATGATGGAAGCATAAGGAACTTACTTAATGCTAACAATAACTTACCAGGAACTATTAAAGCATTTATAAAGTCCTTTGTAAAACCGGTGCTCTAACATTTAGGTCTTTGAGAGCAAGAGCATTGAAGTCAAGAGATGCAGAAACTCCAACAGAACCTACAGAAGGAACTGAAACAACAGAAACTCCAGAAGAACCACCAAAACCAACAGCTAATGAAATATTGTTCGAATATTTTCCAAGGTACTCTGTTCTCATTGCATACATTCAAGAAATACTTAAGAAAGCAGACTTGACTTTAGGAGATGATGAAAGTTCTGTATATCTTTCGTTCCAGTTTCAAATAGCAGAACTTTTGAGACAGATATGCTTAATGTATGACAACATCTCTGATTTCACAAGATATGATGACGACCATGACCCCGAACACGGTGAAGAAGAAGTTTTACAAACATCCATTAAGACAGGAAAGGTTTTAACACAAAGTCTCATTATTGACACCAAAGATGGCGAAGTGGACGTTCTTCAAGAGCTGAAGAAAAATACTTCTTCGGGAGGTGGTGGTAGGCATGAACTTGAAATAAATGAGATAGAAGAGAAATTAGCCGAAAAAGCAGATAAAGAACATAAACACAATATCTCCGATATAAATGAACTTCAAGCTACATTAAATAGTAAAGCGGACAAAATGAACTTGACGCAATGAACAAAGTTTTGAAATCTCATAAACACAATATCTCCGATATAAATGAACTTCAAGCTACATTAAATAGTAAAGCGGACAAGAACCATGTTCATTATATAACTTCAGACGAACAGATTATAACGGACTACCATGGATATTTAACACGAAGTGATGAAGCGAAGACAAAAAATGTTAATGAAAGAAGATATAAATACATTCGTGCTAAAGGTTATGACATAAGCTGTACTGTACAGTATGATGTAGCTAAAGCACCAGAAGCATTTGGTTATACCGGTGAAATTTATGCCTCTACTTTCAATGTTAACGGTGTATTAGTTGAACCAAGATTTACTTTGAGAGTTAAGGCAAAAATAACGTTTGAAGATGCTATTAAAAGTAAAGCTGACAAAGTTGAACTCGAAGCAACGAACAAAGTTTTGAAATCTCATAAACACAACATCTCCGATATAAATGAACTTCAAGCTACATTAGACAGTAAAGCTGACAAGAACCATACACATAAATCCTTCACTACTGTTAGAGCAGACGACATAATATTGAACTTTGACCTTGGTTCAAGTGCACCTTTAGAATCCAAGTACAAGCGTAAAAGATACTCTTAACAATTTAGATAAGAGTTGCAGGACATTGAAGTCATGCCAGAAACTTTGAAGCATATGAACTACCGCAATGTTAGATAAGAAAGCAGACAAAACTTATGTGGATGCAGAACTAACAAAGAAATTTTCGAAACCAGATACAATGACATTTACAACAGAAATTATAAATGGTGAACCAGCAACTCCATTTGAATTTGTTAGAGGTCTTCAACCAGATACTTTTGAATTTTTCTTGGATAATTCTATTGAACTAACATTACATTATAAAAGTGGAACAAATGCAACATTTCATCCGGGAGATACATTCCAAATGGTATTTAATGACATAAGTTCTTTAGAATATGTTTATAGAGTTATGAGCATATATGATTTAATATATCCTATAGGAGCTGTTTATACGTCTATGAATCCAATAAATCCAAACACTTTATTTGGTGGTAGATGGTATGAAATAGTTGACAGTTTTCCATTCTACACTAATACGCAGTCAATGAAGATGGGAGGTTCAAAGAAAATAGGTATTGAAAACCTTCCTTCACATATGCATAGGTTCAGTGGAAGAACATCTGTGGAAGGAAACCATTCACATTCAATAACAAAAAGAGGTTATACAAATCTTGCAGCGGGTTCGGATAGACAGGGAATGCATAGATATGATATCTCAGATGACCCCAAAGATGTTAGCACAGGTATTTTCTGTGGAACTGCAGGAAATCATACACATGTTGTAGCTGGTATTACAGACCCAGCAGGTAATGGAAAAGATTATATGCCTCCTTATATAACAATGCACGCTTGGATACGAGTTGGTTAAACTCTTTAACTTTACATAAATGAGCTTGAAAGAAGTATTCGAACAACATCCATGGAGGTCATTTAAGAAGTTCAATGAAGCTGCAAAGAGTTGGGGATTTACTAACAGAGCTGAAGTGAAAAGGTTCTTTGACAAAAATGTTGTACATCAAACAAAAATAAACCCTTACGACTACTTTTTACCAATTTACTCCAACGCTCCTGACGCATACCAATTTGACACTCTCATTCAAAGCAGAAAAGGAGGACATAAACCATTCCTCATCTTCATTAATGTTAACACTCGTAAAGCATATGCATATCCAATGAAAAATAAAGGAACTCGTGAAGTGTTAAGAGTTTTACAAAAGTTTGTAGCAGAACATAACCCAAGTACTTTAACATCAGACCAAGACAGTGCATACCTCAACAATGAAATCACAGATTTTCTCATTAAGCATAACATAACTCACTACACTACTGAAGACCATAACCATAACATACTCGGCATCATAAACCGCTTCATAAGGACTCTCAGAGATTTAAACCAAGAGCGAGACTTTACCGAAGAAACAATGAAACATTTTCTCGAAGTATATAATTCCTCAACACATTTTACAACAGGACATACACCAAATTCAATGACACAACAACAAGAAGAAAAGTATATACAAAAGAAACGAAGCCAAACACAAAATATCAGAAATTCAACACAATTTACCCTCATTCCTGGAACAAAAGTTCGTGTAGTTCTTGACGACAAACCGTTGACAAAGAAACGTTTAAGGTTAAGTCGAAATTATTATATTGTAGACTCTACGCAAGGTAATGGATATCTTATAAAAGCTGCCGACGACTCTATTGCGTTTTATCCTCGTCATAAATTAGTTGAAAGTAGTAATGGCAAACTTGCTGAAACCATTGACGAAGCAAAGCGAGGAGTGGTTATTGAAATACTTGGCTACAACACAAACGATGACACTTATAAAGTAAGATATGAAGGAGGTGTTGAAGATGTTATACCATCTAAGAACTTGAGAGAGTCGAAGCCAACACATCTGGGACCATTAGAGCGGGAGTACTGGAAAGACAAAAATATGCCAGAAAGAATAAGAAAATTCTTCTAAACTTTTTCATTAGATGTAAATCAGACAAAAATATAATTTAGGTGAAGAGGTGAGATCTCACCTGTTTTTTCACCTCTTTTTTCACCTCTTGAATTTTCATGAATTTTTCCCGAAATAAAAAATAAAGTTAGTTTTATTTTTTTTATTTTTTTATTTTGTATAAAAGATATGATTTCAACAATCGGCACAACAACAATTCAAGCCGCGAACGGCGGGACTCTGTCCACAACAACAGCACCAAACTCGTTAGTCATGAATCCTACGTCAATGTTAGTAGAGATGAAAAACTTCATTCCTTCTTCATATACTTTCGAAACAAAAATCCAGAAGATAAAGCAAGAACTTTTAACAAGTAATTTAGACTGTAGTGCGAAAGATGAAGAAAATGAAGAATATCTTTATGAAATGCAGGACATTATTGACCATTTACCCAAATTGCCTGAAATCCAACAACAAAAACTCACTATTCCTGAATTCGACGAAATTGAAGTGAAACCAACTGACTCAGTAGAAATAAAGAAGTTCATACGTAAAGTAAATTATGAATTCCTTGGTTTTCATTGCAACCATAAGGTTATGGACAAAGATTGCGACATGGTATATAAAAACATTTCTGACATATATAAATCTGAGGAGTTTAAGACTTACGATAACTTTGTTTCATTAGTTGCAAAATGTGTTTGGGAAATAAGAGATAAAGATAGAAGAGGCAAAGTATGGAACGAACAAATAAGACCCGCTATGTTTGAGATGAAGAGAGCAATTGACGCTTTAGTTGTTTTAGCTGGTTTTATTTCAATGTATAACGCAAAAATGAACCCGCAATGTTCAAAATGTAAGGCAGCAATTAGGAAATATAACTACTCAGTCAAAGAGATAGAAAGAATGAGAAACGACTATGCAGACTTAAAGAAAGAAGCAGAAAAGCCAGCAGAAGATAAAATGAACATGTTAGAATTTCTGAACAAAAACTATCCAACAGCAGAAGATTTCCTTCTATCTGACGTCAAGAAGAAGTATAAAGAAACCTTCGGTATTGTTAAAACTTTTGACATACTGACAGAAGAAATAGAAGCTACGAAATTGTTTAGGATTTCAAATATACATCGTACAATTCATGTAAAACGCTTGTGAAAAAACTGGGGTGAAAAAAGAGGTGAAAAAACAGGTGAGATCTCACCTCTTCACCTAAATTATATTTTTGTTCAAAGCTTCCACGAGAGAAAAGATTCCTCATTCGCTAAGGATTCCAAAAATGAAAAAATCATTGATTTCGGCTGAGAAAAAACAGCAAAACCCTTCTTCCACGGGAATAAAGAAATAAAGAAGAAATAAAGTAAATTTTTTATTTATTCCCGTGGAAGATAGAGCACTTTTATGACACTTTTTATTCACGACAAACAAGACAAACAAAGAAAATAAGAAAATACGGCGCTGTCGCGGTTCGAACCACAGACTCTGACCCCTCCATAACACCACCTTAGACCACTGTGCTACGTAGCCTGTCGACATAAGATTTTATAAATTGCATATTTGACGTAAATTTATTTCCATCTAGCTTCCCACCGCATAAGATATTCATACGTGTTTGTAAGACATTCATTAAATTCTTTTCTATTGCATCTAATCTTGCGTTATTTTTTTCAATAGCTTGTCTGTATTCTTCATCATCTCCAGCAGTGTTTGGGTCTTCACGTTTAAAATATTCATTGTTAACCAATTTTTTATCTACAAATTTTATTAGTGTTTGATTCACTTCGTTATGATAACGGTCATATTCTTTCAATACGTAAGTGAAGACAAAATGCGTCGTACCTTCAATCTTAAAGCTTAAAGAACTTTCAACACAGTTTTGAGGGTCTGTCAGTGCGTCAATGAGATAGTATTCGAAGTCAGTCAATAATCTTTTTAAAGTCATTTCATACAGGATAAAATTTAATGTTGTGAAGAAATAGTGTTTATCTCAGAAAAATAACGCTAATTTTATTTTTATTTATTTTTTTATTTTGTATGTAAAGACAGTAATGACAACATCAGAGAACACAACAACAGTTATAGTCCATGAAGCAATAAATGAAGAATACGAGTACATACAATATAACAAACAGTTACGTCTCATTCGTTCAGTCAAAGATGACATGTACCAAATGCAAAGTATTTTGACAGCATGTTATGCTCCAGATACTAAACTTCCTAAAGACTGGTTTAGGAACCAAAGCACACAAGAACTTTTGATGAAGCACAGCGAGACATACTTTTTTCTGAAAACAGTGAAGAACAGCGAGTAGGTAAAAAACCCAGTCGCCAAAACTCTATGAAAATCGTGAAAAATTGCCAAACGGTTTGAGAGGATATTATGTTCATAGACTTCTCGTAAATGTTGTAGCAATGTGGGCTTCACCTCGTTATGCTTGGTATGTTTGTAAACTTCTTGACGAAATTCACAGACAAGAACGCGAACAGATGGAAAAGAAACTTCAAGCAAAAGATGAAGTCATTGAATCCAAAGACAAAAGCATACAGAAAAGAATACCGCGTTCAGTACCAAAAGGAAAGGAAAAGAACTATAAGTATATGATTTATACTGAAGAGATGGAAAATGAAGAAGACAGAGATATGGTTATGTTGCATTTAGTCAGAAGAAACAACAAAAGCTTTTATGACCTTGCTAAGATTTACAAATCTGACAGAAACTGGTTCTATCGTGAAAACTTACCGATTTCAATGACACCGAATGAGCAAATAAAGGAAATTGTCAAAAATACTCTTCCTCAAACACACTATGACATCAAAGGTTGCACAATACTTACATTCAAAGAAGACTTACCATTGTTAAAGGAAAAAATAACAGAGTATTTCGATAACTTCAAAGAGGAAGAATGAAAATCTAAGCTAATTTTATTTTTTTTTATAAAATTTTATCTCATATGAAAGAACATGAATTTAGAATATTCGGAACTCATGACAGAAGAGGAGAACGAACAGCATGTAAAAGATTATGCAAAATTTATGAAGACATACAAAGCATTTAAACAATATCTAAATGCTTCTAAAGATTATGCAAAATTTCTGAAGGTATATAAAGCTTATGAAAAAGCGTATGAAAAGTTTATACATTGGGGAATTGTTGTAAAATATCCATATGAAGACTAACCAAAAATATATTTTTGCTTAAATAGCTTCAGGGTCAATTTCTTCAACCATTTCACTTCCTTCGTCAATGTCAATTGAAGCTTCTTCAACCTTTGGTAAGAATTTCTGTATAACATCTTTGTTCGTTATTGTCTTCAGAGATGAAGGATAATATTTCACATTTGTTTCACCCTTCTTATATTCTTTCTGTTCGGAAAGATTCATAGCAATACTGAAGAAGTCAATGTTAGAGTTCTTTATGACAGTATAATGAGTATCTTTGACATTCACGAAGAAACTCTTTTGTTTCAAAACTACTGCTAACTCTTGTGAAGTATAACGTTTGCGGTCAATGACGATAGCTAATGGTCTGACATACTGACCAAACTTAGATTCTTTCACAAACTTCTTGTTAAAGATAACATTAACGTTTGAAGCATTATTGAACTCATTCTTGATGGCATTAGCGAGAGCATTGTATGAAAAGAACTTGCAATCTTGCATGTGTTTCATTAAAATAAAAATATTAAATTATTTTGAAAAATAACTTAAAAAAAATCTAATCTAATTTTTTCAAAAATATTTTTTTTATTTCCTACTAAAGATGTATCGGAAGTTGTCTAAGTTAGAACACTCGGAAATAAAACAACTTCTTACAGAAGCTAATATAGATGTTGCAAAGCATTACGCAACAAACAAAAAAGCACTCGCTGACTTCATTAAAGACTATAATGGTGCAATAAGTTACGATAAAATTCATGAGTTCATAAAGCCGCAACGCGGCGAGGACGAAGTCCATGCAATAGCATTTCCTTTAAATGACGTTGCTATTGACTTATATCATAGACGTTCAGTACCTCATGAAGTAAGAAGAGAGATGTTTGACATAACAAATGCGAACGTTGGTCATACTCGTAAAGCTCTTTCGCATGATGTTCGTCAAGAGATGTTTGACATAACAAATGCGAACGTTGGTCATACTCGTAAAGCTCTTTCGCATGATGTTCGTCAAGAGATGTTTGACATAACAAATGCAAACGTTGGTCATACTCGTAAAGCTCTTTCGCATGATGTTCGTCAAGAGATGTTTGACATAACAAATGCGAACGTTGGTGAAACAAGAAGAAGAGACGACACACTGAAACAACAGAGAAGAGAGATGTTTAAGAGCGCTATAGAACAAGTTCGCAAAGCTAACGATGTCATTCGTTCCATTGACGACAAACCAAAAGAAGGTGAGAGATGGTTAAAGAAAGATGAAGAGAATAGGAAGAGAAATGTGAAGTCAGGCAATAGACTCATTGACTTTAACATCGAAGCTTTAGATGAACCAAACAGAGACTACTTACACAAACATTTCGGTAAGGTTTTCATGAGACTCTTAAGAGAAAATTAAAATAAACTCACAACAGAGATGGATGGTATGTTATAAACTTGGTGGAAAGTATGAATGTTCTACGTTAAACCTCAATAATATTGGAACATTACTACATCAGCTCTTGAAGGAGAACTTTATATCAGAGATAAAGCAAATGCTGCAGGTATTGTTGAAATGCACTATGACTTCTTCTTGACAAACATAAAGAATCTTACCGAAATAAAGATGTATGATTTAACAGAATATGAAGGCTTAACGATGTCAGATGTTAAGAAAGGAAAGCCACAGAAGCGACCATATAGAGATGAAAGCACACTGACAGAAAGACAGAAAAGATTATTGAACAGACTTAAACAAACAGGAGATAAACAAGATATAGATGACTTCTGGAATGAAATCCTTGGTGAAAAGAAGTTTTATAAGAAGAGAAGCGGTCAGTTCTGGAAGTATCTTTGCACATTACCTATAAATCTTGAACGCTACCAAATCTTCAATGAACTGAACAAAAGAACTGCAACACTTATGACAGAAGACAATTGTTTCGTTTATGCTTGCATTCAGGCTGGAGTAGATGAAGAAACTATTGACCACATGAGAGAAGTCATTCGTGTTAGAGACTTTCCTCAAAGCAAAGTACAAGAAATTTCTGACGCAACAGGTATAGCATTTAATGTTACCATTGGTTACTTCAATGACTCAAGACATAATGAAATAAAGAGATACATACCAAAAGAATGTGAAACTGTTAGAACTATTGACTTACTTCTTGTTGAAGACCACTACATGCTAAACGAAAGATTACCAATGACAACATATTTCATTCGCAACTATATAGAAATTCTCAAAGCTTGTGGTGGAATGAACATTGAGAAACAAATGAAGATTTATACAAAGAGAGAAGATAAATATGTAGTTCGTTATGATAGAACAACACCGTTATGGAATGTTATGAAAATATTGTGGGAGTGCAAATATTTCGAACCTATTTCTTATGGAGAACTTTTCACATATACTACTGACTTATATAAACAGAACCTTGCACCATTTAAAGATTTGACATATGCTCCAAAGTATTGTGTACAACTGAAGAAGAAAGCAGAGTCAAAAGAAGTAAATAAAAATAAGTGCAAGTTCATTCCTGAGCACGTTTTCTTTGCTGACTTTGAGTGTAGTACCGATGGCTTTCATAAAGCTTTTAACATATGTTACGACAATGAAGATGGTTCAGTGAGTGAAAGCATTTGGGGTCAGAACTGTGCAACAGAATTTTTGGAGCGACTTCCTGACAAGAGTTTAATATATTTCCATAACCTCAGTTATGATATAAACTTCATCTTAAGACACATGACAGAAGTGAAAGGAACTCCCATCATTAAAGGTTCACGAACAATGCAAATAACTGGCTTATATAAAGGAAGGGCAATTATTATAAAAGACTCTTACAGTGTTATAAATAAGAAGCTTAAACTATTTCCTGCTATGTTTAACTTACAAACAGGACCGAAAGAAGTATTTCCATATAACTACTACAGCAGTGTTTTGTTAGCAAATGACAACAGAACTGGTGTCATTTCTGAAGCATGTAAGTTTATCCGGGATGCAGATACATTCATGAAAAACATAGATTCCATCAAAGGTTGCAGAATAGATGAGAACCACTTCGACTTAGAAAAGTATAGCACATTTTATTGCAAACAAGATGTAAGAATTTTAAGAGAAGGTTTTGTTAAGTTCCGCAATGACATATTGAAAGAATTTGATTTAAACATTTATGACTACGTTAGTATTTGTTCTATTGCTAACAAATTGTTTGAGAACAGAGTGTACTTCCCGAATGGAAATTTATATGACCTCTCAAATAAACCAAGAGAATTTATTTCGAGATGCATTCAAGGTGGAAGATGTATGTTGTCAGATAACATTAAACAAAAGAGCGAAAAGAAACTCATTGCTGATTTCGACGCTGTTTCATTATATCCATCCGCTATAGCAAGACTTTATACTTTAGAAGGTATTCCAAAGGTTATGAAGAAAGAAATGTTAAGCACAGAGTATCTCATGAGACATTTATTTGATGACGACCAAAAGGAACCCATTGGTGAAAAGTTTATGTCTGGCTTCTTTGTTCTCATTAAGATAACAGAGATTGGAATACATAGACACTTTCCTTTAATAGTTTGTGACCCTGAACTAAATCCAGAACTTAATGTTCCCAGAAGTTCAAACACTTGCTGTTTAATGTATGTTGACCATATAACATTACAAGACCTCATAAAATATCAAGGTGTCAAATGTGAAGTGTTGCAAGGATACTATTACGATGGAAACAGAGATATTAGAATAAGAGATGAAGTAAAGAAGTTGTTTGAGTTAAGGTTAAAGTATAAGAAAGAAGGAAATCCTTTGCAAGAAAATATAAAGCTCATTCTGAACAGTATTTATGGCAAAACTATTCTATCTCCTATTGAGTCAAAAATAACCATAGTAAATGACAAAGATGCTATAAGATATGCCATCAGAAACTACAACCATATAGTGAAGTTCGAAGGTTTGGATGGTTCAGATAAAACTATTTTCAAGCTAACGAAAAGTATTTGCAGACACTTTAACTTCTGTCCACTTGGTGTTAACATTCTGTCTATGTCGAAGAGAATAATGTGTGAAGTATTCTGTACTGCTGAGGACTTAGGAATGGACATCTTTTTATAGCGATACCGACAGTATGCATCTCTACAATGAAGATATCCCTCGTTTAGCTGAAGAGTTTGAGAAACGTTATGGAAGAGTTCTCATTGGTAAAAACCTTGGTCAATTTCATAGCGACTTTGCAGAAATCACACCTGGAAAACAAAGTTTAGCATACAAGTCAATATTTTGTGGAAAGAAGACTTACATAGACTTACTCACGAATGATTTAAATGAAGTTGCATTTCACTGCAGAATGAAAGGCGTGAAGCAAGATGTTATTGCTTTAACCGCTAATGAAATGTTTCCTGACTCTGTTCAGTGTTTCTATGATGAAGATAAAGGTTTAATGGTTCCGCAAGGAAAATTTGACAAAGACTCTGAGTTCAGTTTATGAAGTTTACAAAGCACTTTATGACGGTCAAGAGATTGGATTTGACTTATGTAAGTCTGCTACACCTGCATTTGACGAGAAGTTTAACTTTTCTATTCAGACTAAAACAAGCTTTATTCGTAAGTTGAAGTTCTGAGGTCATTTATTTTTGTCAGCAATGAGGTCATTCGTGATAAAAATAAGCCGCTAGCGGCAAGGGCGAAGCCCATGAGGTCATTTACAATACTGCGATGGTAGAGTTTAAGAGTTGTGCTTCAATGTAGAGACAGTCCTTATGGTCTGGAGGTAGCAAAACAGGTGCTTTATGGTCATGAGTGGAGAACATGTCTATCCAAAACTCACGATTGAAGCCAGTAAGCTTGTAATACTTAGGATTTGGCAGTGGTGAAGTTCTTGTATGACCAATGAACTCATTTTCAACTCCCTTACTTAAGTTTGAATATAATATAGCTTGCTTTCTATCCCAAATGCCAGGTGTTACAATCTTTGAAAATTCATTTTTCCTCGGAAGCATTGCATAATAATTGAAAACATTTTTTGAAGTCATCATTTGGTTCAGAGATTTGAAATCTTATACGTAATGGATTTTTTTTCTTTTTAGCGACTTCATTGAATGGTGAGAATACAATGAATTGACAGTCATGAGTTCCATCTTCATTTTCATTAAATTCATAATGAAAGTCTATAAGTTGTGGCCGACTACCTTCTTCCTTCAGTTGTGCAAGAAACTCACGTAAAGGCTGTAAAGTTTGTACTTCAATGTTGAACTTTTTCTCGAACATCTCATTAAATGAAATCATACATTGCAACAATGTTGTATCGTCTTTAAAGTATTTGTATATGTGAATGTTTTGGGCGCTTAAAGACTGTTCGTCATTTTCTATCTCGACTTGAAGTATAAAGTCAACCTTTCTGAAAGCACGTGTTATATACATAGATGTTATGCCAATGTACTTCTCTTCATTTATGTTCACAATCCAGTCTGTTGGAAACTTAAACGTTACTCTCTGTTCCCCTTTATTTTGACGTCAGGGTTTTCACTACTGAACGCAACAGATAAAGGTATTTGTCTATACATTTAATTCGGATAAAAATAAACCATTTACTCTTTCTTTGCTTCAGCTTCTTTAGCTTTTGCTTCAGCTTCTTCTCTAGCTTTCTTCGCCAGCAAACGTGGGTTCTTTTGTCTTCCAGCAGCTAATGCAGCAAGTTGTTTTTCACTAAGTTTTCTCTTTGGTCTCTCTGGCTTTTGTTCTTGTTTTTGTTCCTTCAGTTCGGATAAAATTTGCTCACGAATTTCTTTCTTCAATGCTTCAACATCTATGACCCCTTGGGTCTTGTCCGTAGGGCTTGTCTGAGTCATTTGACTGCAGATAAAAAACAAAATTAAAACTTTAACCGGTGTAAAATGAGCTTGTCAAAATCAGAGCGAGAGTCTATTATATTAAATGACGCAAGAGGAATACAACATCCTTTCTATTACGTAAGTCAGAGTAAAGATGGTAAAATATACGTAAGAAAAAGAAAGGTTCCATTAGCGAATGCAGAAAGCGACAACATTAAGGTGTATGGCAAGGGTGAAGTCCACGTTAAGCCTTCTATTCAAACTGAAAAGTCAATAGAACCAGAAGAAAAGAAGCCAGATGTACTTTCAATAACGAACCAAGAGCTTATTGCAAAGTTCGTGAATTTCATTGAAAAACAAACCGAGTCAAAGAATCCTGACCCGCCAGTGAAAGAAGTTGAGACAAAAGAGAATGTACAGTTCATTGAAAATGTCAAGAAACAACTTC